TCGACCATGCGGAAGAGATAGCGGCGTCGTAGAAGGAGGGACCGAAAGCGGTGATCTGTAGAAAGGACATAGAGGACCTTGTTGAGCTCGGCAAACATGGAGGTCCAATCCTTGAGATCTCCTGCTGTGGCCTCCTTGAGAAAGTCGGTGAGGGAAACGACGCGTGATACAAAAAGGTCAAGAGATTTTCGAGGAAGGTCAGGGAGAGAGTCGAAGAACAGGACTCGCGTGCCTGGCGATTTCAGGATCATGCCGATCACAAAGAGAAGAAGCTCCCTATCAGGTAAAACGCCTAGGAATGCTTCATCGCGAACCAGGAAAGGGACCAGGTGTTCGGTTGCACCAGGGTGGTTGATGACAGCATCGCACAGAGCCTCGTTGAAGACGATCATAGCATAAAGGAGGGATAAGCCAAGATGCGTCTTCAGAGCGCCATCGGGGCAAGTTTGGCTAGTCGCAGAGGCCAACTTCCAGGGCGAGATGGAGAGGATATGATCCAAGTCACTGATCACCAGCCTGGTGATTTCCGTGGTTTGTTCTTCAGGATACTTCGAGCTCAAGGCCTGCTCCAAGGCGCTGAGTGAAAGGATCACACGCGTCGTCCAGTCTTCCTGGAGATCCCTATCCTTCGGATATGGCCGCGAAAGGTGAGGCAAAAACGCCTCCAAAATTGTACTCATGCTTCCTGGAGGCGGCCAGCTGATGACAACCCTCCGCATGTCAGGGATAGACCCAGCACGAAGGGAACGAACGATCTGGGGATGTCAGTCCAACATCTTTGGCCCCGCAATGTTTCCTACCTTATCAAAGTGCCAGTCGCTCATTTTCCGTGGGTGCGAGAGCGATGGATGTCGATGGAAAGAGGATGACAGTTGACCGGAAGCCCCGACTGCAATCAAAGTTGATGACAATTTGAAGCTGCCAAATCATTACCCGTTTCAGCGCGAGCGCGTCCCGATATAGACGGGAATGGTTCGCGCATAACTGCAGACCGCCAATGGCAAATGACGAGAATGAGCTTTGATATGAATAGGAGCAAAATGCAAGCCCTGAGCACGCTTGAATTTGCGAGTACCTATGAGTAGAACAGATAGGAAGAAGACACGCATCGAGGGAGCCTTGCAAGAGCCGGATAGAGGTGGAGCGTAGCATGAGAGTGAAGATTTTCGCCTTCAGATATCGTCCTCACGTTTCGATGTCATTTACCGACTCCCAAGGCATGCAAAACACCCGTTTCTTTGACTTGCAAGTAACCTTTCAGTTAAGCCTCCTGACCCTTGATACATACGATGCCGTAAGTCTCAACATTGATTCGACCCACGTTGTCGCCTCGTGTGGACCCACACGACCGCATAACCACACACAAGCTCTAAATTGAACTGCTGAACGCGGCGCCTGCCCAACGGAGCTGCATCTCTCCCACATCTCTGACTGCCTTGTCCCCCGTCATGTCGGGCACGTCTACCGAAATTGGATGGAAGCTGAAGGTTCCAGTCGTTGAGGCCATGTCTCCAACCTACAGGCATTCCTTTGGCGAGTTGGAGAGGAAGTGCTGCAATACTGGGAAAGAACCGCCTACACCGCTGTTCCCCGATGCCTTTATCCACTTCCGTATCCCTGTCGGTGGGCTTATGACGCTCTCCGACTATGTAGAGCTTACGCCGGAGAATCTTGACAGTATTTGGCAGGTGAGGCTCATCATTCTTTCCGCTTCGTTCTTGGTTCATTTCTTCAGCGTATAGGACGAAGAACCTGGGCAGCGCTCAGTCCAGATTCTGTATGATCCTCTGCCTGGTCCACAAACGCCCCTGATCACATTAAATCTTCCGTAGCTTTCTGCTCAATCGCTCGAATGAGGATAAGCCAGGAGAGAGAGCGCAGAGCGTGAAGTGGATGGCAGAGCACCTGGGCGTTTCTCCATGCTTCTTTGACGGCGTGTTTCGTACCACAGATTTGACGGTCCTGGAGCTTCCTCCTCAACCCATGGCTAACATTGGGGAGGAGGGTGTATCTGGGGTCGACGACAACCTCAGTACGCCGCCTATTCCGCTACAAAATCCACTGGCCATCGATGCTAATATCGTTTAAATCACAGATGGAATGTACATCACCTCCCTAGCAGAGCGGTGGACGACGGTGTGGTTCAGCCATCAGCTAGACGGAATGGTTTCCCTCTACATCGTCCACGATGCGGGAGCGGTAGTGATAGAAAGTATCGCCGCAATTGTGGCTGAAGCCTTTCCGCTGCCATTTCTGGGCATTGACGTCCTACTCTTAGATGGTGAAAAGCTCTTCAACGAAAACTACCATAGGATGTATGAGGATGCATTGGTGGCGGTGAGGCACTGTCCCGTAATTTGGCTTCGTAAGGCCCAGCAACTGACTTATCCATGCGGTACTCTGCTAGCTCGCGAAGCTCAATCCTGCAGATACACCCTTTCGCCCGGCTCCTAAGCAACCAAATTCGCCCACATATTCCTTCGCGGACGGCCAATCTGATATCATTCTACGGTACACGGCCGTTTTCAATGTTCAGAGAACGTACGGCAACAAGCGGAGAATCGTTGAGCTACTCAAAAGCCTCATGGCCACCCGTAATTGGCTGTTGGAAGGCAAAAGCCACCATGTCCAAAGATACCGCGCATATGTCCAAGGTGGATGGAAGCTTGACGTAGCCCAGACACAACAACTTATAGCCATCTTCGAGAACACCTTGGCTGATCGAGAGCAGAACATCAAGACGAGCATGGAGCTGTTGGGGACACTCATGAACGTTCGCATTGCGATGTATTCTGCAGAGATGACACGAGAGGCGAAGAAGGATAGCTCTTCCATGACGACGTAAGCATTGTCCATTGACTAGGCTGGTTTGTCCATAGGCTGACGAATGTCAGTGTGTCGCTCTTGACAATGCTCTTCCTACCCGGATCGTTCGTAGCAGTGAGTGTTCTATTTACGCTCCGATTCGGCGTCCCCTCTCATGCCACCCCCACCACCCAGTCGTTCTTCAGTACAAGCCTCGTCGCCTTTCCGGGCGACAAAGGTACATCGACGGATTCGTCTGAAGCAATGACCTCAATTTCAGACAAAATCAAGCTTGTGTCGGGATCTTGGCTCTTCTTTGTGATTACATTCTGCCTTACAACGTCTGTATTCGCTGTCTGGATGTTTTATCACGGTCGTTATTACTATGCTGTACCGTTCCGCTTACCGATGAGTAGAAAGAGGTCCAATCCTGCCAATTCCGATCTTGTATAACTCTAGATACGTCTCAATCGACGTTACACATACAGTTGACGGCTTCGAACATATCTAGGAGGGTGTGATGGGAGCAAAAGGCCCGTTTCAGTGAACTTGGTGACCGTGTCGAAGCGGGGCGCCAGTTGCCCTGCACATGTTGCATATCATCCTGGTATTTTATTGGGCTCAGGCATACCTCGAAAGAACGTCGTCGTATGGAGAGGAGTTTATTAAATTTACGAATAGAGTATTGCTCAAAACACTGAATCAAAGGGGAAACATGGATACAACCAGCATTAGGCGAACGTGAAGTAAACAACCCAGTCAAAGTCTGTCAAACACCAAAGGAAGAGAGATACAGCAGGTTCATGGACGTCGAGTCGAGGGCCCGTAGAGTCGAGAACCTATTCAGTCGTTCAACCCAACCGAGAAAGAGAGATATGCTAACGCCCAGCGGTATCGTTTGAGGGAACAATTGCACCATCCAGGTTACAGTGCGTGCATTGCAAGAACGGGAACTGCTGGTATAGCTCCCAAGGTTGAGCAGCCTGGTCAAGGCGATGTGAGTGACTTGGATTAGAAACATCCATGGGCGAATCATGCTGAATCTCGGCTTGTTGGACGTCGCTAGAAGTTACCATGCTAGCCAGCGAGGAGGAAGGGGAAAAAGCAGGATTGGGTTTCTCAAACCCAGAGTGGTTGAAAGTGGATAGTCCAGGACCGGCCTGAGAGGGTTGTAGAGCACTAAGATCTACACAGCGTTCATTGGGAAGACGATAGAACCCCTCTCGGCGTTGAGACATACTGAGATCGTTGGGCGGGTTGGCCATGCCCTGAGAGCGAGAGCGACCCGGGTCGGAAGAAACCTGGCCGGGGGGATAGAAAGAAGAATCAGACTGCGAGGGGCTGTCAGATGCTATGCCGCTCTGATTGGCGTTGCCGACAACATTAGAGGCCTGACGAGTCAACGTTGAAACTTGATTTCGAGCATTGACGCAGATGGCACAAGTGCAATGCGAGTCTGAAGCACCCGCCTGAGAAGCCCTAGCGTCTGTCTTGTCGTTGTTGTCAGCTGCCAGTAGTTCAGCCCGAATGGAGCCTTCTCCATTTACCAATCTGGCGCCAGAAAGCACAGGGTCGCCAGAGCTTATCCCACTGAGTAGGTCGTACTGACGCTGACGTTCGCGATACACAAGGTTCTGGGATTGAATAGCCACCACATTCCATGACAAGAAAGGCAGAGCGGCTTCAAGACGTTTCATTTGCTGAGAAACGTCCCTGACCGTAGAGATCAGGCTCGTCATGTCCTCACACAAGGGAAAGTCCTTTGGGTCAAATTGAGGAGGGATGGTGTTGTCCATTATTAACGATAGTTGTTGCAGTTGTGGTGGGCTGAGCGGTAGTGAGAGAGAGAGGTAGTGATAAGGTCCTGTTGCCTGAGCTGGGAAGCATTTATGCCCAATTGATGCTGTAGAGGTCCGGCGAAAACTGCGTAGCGATATCCCCCCGGATACAAATGTAAGATTGGTCGTCTATCCGACGAGATCAATTCGTTGTTAGCATAGTTGCAAGCGTCTCATTTACCTCACGGCACCTTGGAGATAAGAATAGAGATTCATTGCTTCTGCAGCCCACTATGTACACTTGAGCCCATAACGACGATTGCCGCCCACAGGCCTGGCAATGGGCGCTTATATTCGATGACGCTTCCATTCTGGTGGCGTTCTGGCTATAATATCAATCCATAGAGGGTGGCCGTGGACACCATAGCCAAGTGGTTACGGCGACAGATTAGAATGGGGTTGACAATATTCGAGGATTGATCTGTTCCTCTTTGAGGGCGCAGGTTCGAATCCTGCTGGTGTCGTCTATCGGTATTTTTCGCTTTTGCTCCGCGATCCAAGGCGCAGTTCCCAGGCAGAAAGAAGCACATGAGTACAACGCCGGGAAAGGATAGCGATTGTATTGAAGCACATTGCCATTATCAATCTCAATAAGTCAATCAGATTCATAACTGCCTCTCCTATTTTTCGTATCTCTGGCCTTCTTTCTCACTCTATCTTTATGCGCTTGAGTTCGCTCGACAACCAGATCTCTGTGTCCAATCACAACGTCCCACTCACTTCGCGTATTCCACCTCCATTTCCCTAGCTCTTCAACAACGGCCACACTTCGATGCCTTCCCAGCTGACAAAACACACCCACCGAAACCTCTGCAGTGTCCTCTTCCGCTTCCTCATGTTCCTCGTCGCTCTCCTGCCCGCTTTCATTCTCCTCCTCGTCGTCATCCATTCCTGCCTTCATCTCAACATCTTGCTTTGGTGGCATCTCCGCCGTCGCCTTTGGCGGCTTCCTAAATGCGTCCCCTTCCTCCACCTCCGACATTCTTCCCTGTATCGCCTGTGCGATACTCTCAAAGCGCGTTTTCACCTCCCCGATCGAGAACAGCCACTCCTGCAGAGGTTTGTACATCCCCGATTGTGAGTTTCGGACATGCTTGGGTGGATTGGGCAGGTTGCGTAGGTCGAATGTAATGGCTGGTTTGGGCACGAGAGGTCCATTCTTGTATCCGTATGAGGTGATGCGGAGGGTGCGAGCAGGTGGCGGAGGTGTAAGAAGTGGGTTGGGCGAGGGAGAGCGTCTTGAAGATGCACGCTTCATCTGAACATGAACAGTAGCGATGAGGTGTGGATGAGAGCGATGTGGAGGTTGTAGATCAAGGTTTGGGTGGCCCCTATCTATTCGTCGCGCGATCTCAATCGTCTGACGTCAGCTAACTGGGAGGCGCAGGCTCCAATTCAATTCTCTTTTGTATGATATATTCACTCTAGAGGATCGATCCCTGTCTGCTAGTACCTGTAGGATTCGATCGCCCTAAGCCTTGGTCTGCTTGGTCGCGTAGAAGAGGATAGAAACACCTTCGCTTCAGGACGCGATGGCCAATCGGTGAAGCCCGTAGTTGCGCCTAACGAAGCATCCGTTGGCACAGGTTCGAAACCTGCTCTCGTCTATCAAAAACTCCTGCGGTGTCATTCTTTTGCGGGGCGTGCAAGCATCAGTATGTGGGATGTATGCGGAAACACGATTGCTATACCCGAACGGGGAAGGCAACGCTGGGAGGGTAAACAGGACGGGAAAGAAAAATTTCCAACCGAAACGGGTTCCATTGTTCCATGACACGAGTAGGAGTTGAACCTGCTCACCCAGACCACTAAAGTCATTATGATGTATTTGGTATTCAACCAATGGACTATTGGGTTGTCCCCCTTTTTAGGGCAGTCAGCTTGCACATCGTCAACGCAATCCCATTGAAAATATCCTTTCTTCTTGGGCGTGTGCCTAACCTGCACAAGTAATTTCTTCGCCAATATGTTGGGTTTACTGGTATTTAACGAACCGATAATGTGGCACTGAGGTATACGGATCGACGGAGGGACCTTGGTAGGTTTCTGCATCCGATCTGCCTGCTTTTATACAATGATACAACGTGATGGCCAGCAGGAACGGCAAGGACTAGTTGGCGTGGCCAGGCTGGAGAAGCATGATCTTTAGCAATTCACATGAGCAGAATCTCCTACTAAGGCGCCTGTGAGAGACTGGTTGTACCAGTTTTGCGGCTTTTGGGGATGAGCAGGTGCGCCTAAGAAGTCACAAATAAGGGCTGGCGATCGTGGGTCAACCTAAGCGATTCCGACGTCATCCGTCTTGTCCTCGACCTCGATCTCCTTGCATGTTCCACTGTGCTTTTGGCGGGGTCGCTCAGTGCATTCACTGAGATCGCTTCGCCAAGAGAGTTGGCACCTATCGAGGGACGCTTGCAATGTAGCCGACGGCACATTCGTCAATTACGCAGGGCTGGGTAGCACAGTTCAGGCGTTTAACGGGCTCTCATTAGCTCAAAACAAGAAGGGCATGATCACCAAGTTGGCAACCAAACAACCGTTGGTCTGTTGAAGCAGGTTCGAATCCCACCTGTGTCTTATGTCACGTACGTTAGGTCGGTCAATTTTTTCCCTGTCCCCGAAACGTATCCCTATATTGGGTAATATCTGTGCGCAATGGGAGAGAAAAGTACGGATTGGACAATAAAATGCGGAGATTTGTTTGGGACGGTGCTCGTCAGCCTGTTGAGTAGGCAAATGGGAAAAAGGTGCCCACATTTCCCATCGATATATCCGTCAAAGTTATACGAGAAATGTCCTTGAATTGGTTCTGTCTATACACCAAAGGTATCCAGACGCTTGAGGCTGGCGAGCGCTGGCGACGAAGAACGGATGCCTCGTGTAAATAGGGGCAGGCGGTCGCGGATCAAAACAGCACATCATCGTTCCCGAACGTTTCTTCGTCAGGGTTCCAAAGCTCCTCCATGTTGCCAACCTCCACTCTTCTCTCTATGTGTCGCTTTCTCCAATTCAAGCATCTTTCAGAGTCGAAATCCCAAGAAATCACGGCTCGACGTTCAAGAATCGCGTCGCCACACACTCCAGCACACACCTACACCTCACTGTCGGCGGCCTCCTAGGCGGGCTGGTCGTTGGTCGATGACTCGCATCTTCTTCGCGACCGTTCAGCTCTCAGCCTAGAACTCATTCTGTTTCTGGAGCGCCGCTGGCTCCTTTGCTATGGGGCCCGTCATTGCACGATCGATGCTCACCGAACAGGGGCATTGCTCCCCTCTACCCGCGACCGTTCATTTTTCCATCTCCAGCTCAGTAATAACAACTATATGCACACAGGTCGCATATCGCGTATTCAATTTCTCTTTCTATCGAAATAAAGTTCTCTTTGGCAGACCTTTCTTCAGCCCTCCTCGGTACCGCCGTGTCTAAACCCTTCGTCCTCCCCTCCGTCTCGACAGCTTTGTCTCCCTACATTCCCTCGCCTCCCTCCTCCCTATCCACTGCAGCCATCCTTGTCGTTATTCAGACAACAGCTGCTTTTAATTCACCTCCAGGTGTTATAGCGCTCAGGCTGTTGCCGATTCTAGTTGAGACGCGAGGACGCTGAGCGGGTGCCATTTGTGGGCTCTGAGCGTTGTTGATGAGGGCAGTGGATGGGTATTGTGGCCATTGGGACTATCCATGTCATGAGGAGCTGAGCCCCGCTCCCTGTGACTGAAACCCTTGAGCTATAACCCAGAGGCCTAACGTCGCGCTCGTTGACAGCTCACGAAAGGAGGTGGAAGGGAACGATGCGAATGTCGTCCGAATTCTTTCCTAGATTTGCTTCACATCGGGGCCATGCATCTCTCATTCTGTCCACTTGCATGGTGGCTCGACTGTCGATTTTTCGTCCAAGCTGTTCTGTCCGCCGGGCAGAACCTACGTTTAGGATGATCCTGGTCCTCAAGACCCGAACGACGAAGAGTTGTTTGGAGCACATCTCGATGGCTCTCAGAGCGAACCCAGTCTATGTTTGCGTCGTCGGCCTCACTGAACTGTGTGCGTGCTTGGTCTTCATCTCTCGCTCTGCTTCCTGCTCTCCAGTGACAAACAGCCTTCTGTAGTCGCTCCTTGCAATACGATATCTGAGTCACTGGAGGCACATCGCTTGCCCTGTAGCTGTGGGTAAAGCGCTCAGACATGTAATTTTGCTCTTTCCCTTTTGGCCTCCCTTCCTTCCATGTTTCTTCCTTTGTCACTAAAAATCGCAATTTAACTCTCTTCGGAGACATTCGAGAATCGAACTCGTGAGCTGAACCATGTTGGTACATTCGAGTGTGTATGTATACGTTCTAGGGAACCATGAGCCTCTTGGAATCTGGCAAACTCCAAAGGGTGATATATATATTGACATCTTCTTGCAGGCGACCCTATTCCTGCTGGATCCCACTCATAGCTTTGGATGTTGGTTGAGAGAGGTGCCAAAATTTGGGGCATATCTCATGGAGCAACGGTAGGACACGGTCAGGATTCGAACCTGCGTTGAGTGTGGATAGTAGATACTTCGCTCCTAGCCGGTTGGACCACAGTGTCTTGAAGACGATCGACACTGAATGGCTGAGTTTTGTTCGAGGTCCTGGATGGCAGGTATTCGGACTGAAGGTGGCGAAACCTTTTCACTCGAGTCTAGGCGCAATCGCGGGTTGTTACATCTATGACATGGGTCAAAAATTCACAATGCATGAATCGTACTAGACCGCCAGGATCGAACTCACGACTCCGAAAAGACAAGTGATGTGAAGTGTGTTCCATTGATCCATTGTCTCCCGAGCTTCTATAAGCCCAAGAGATAGTGAGAGCAAGGTGAAGGAGGTCTATCTTGTGAGGGTACATCGTGTCCACAACTTGACAGCATTTGGCTACACATTCCCGGCGCTACAGAAACCTTTTTAAAGTAGCTATGACCTGTGTAGAGACGAGCAGGATCCGAATCTGTCGCTGAAGTTCATGCAGTTAACGCTCTACCTCGGAGCTCTCGGCAGACATCTCCCTGCTCCGTCTCTGATGTTGAGCGGTGATCTTAGAGTGAGCTCGACAAAACAACAGCGGTCATCTTACGTCGTACTCGTGTCTTCGCCAATGATTCATCAGGCCGGTCCTCGAAACTCAAGATGTCTAGAAGGAACACGAGAGACAAGGCAACGTATTTTTATTATTATTATTATTATTTATTATTTTCCATGTCTAAGGGTACCGACGAGAACCGAACTCGTAATCTGGAATGTAATTCCATTCGCCAGCGACGTATGCACTCCAACTAATTTATCAGTCCGTGCTGCTACATTGAACCTTTTAATAATACAGCCATCCAAACAGCCTAGAACAGAAGATCACATCAAGCCTTGACGTATGGAAAAAAGCATCGGCGGAAAGGAGACTCAGAGACTGAGTAAGTCATGCTGGGAAGCAGCCTGGGCTACCAGACTCCTCATGGATGCAGACCAAGACAAAATGAAAAGCACATTACTGTCAGACTATGTGACAGACCGAGATTCGAACCCGCACCAGCGTTGAACGTTGAACCCCGGGCTCTTCGCTTTCTGGACCATTGTGCCATGTCAACGCACCCCATTGTCACCCCTATCTCCAACGCATACAGATACTAAACTTCAAAACTCAACTCGTATCTGAAAACACCATTGGTATCCGGGTGGGGTTGATTCAACGAGGTTTTTTCTTCGCACGTGCAGTGCGTCGTGGAAAGCTCGCAGGCGTAAGCCCCATATGTGATATGGGTACCTGCCGCCGGGCTCTCGCCCATGGCTGGGAGGCAGCCAGTGGCGACTGCACCTAGCCATTGTCACAGCCACCTTTGCATTCGCGTTCCCCAGGACAATAGGGGCTTCGCCCCAATGAACTAGTGATCTACATGCAACGCAATGGCGGCTGCGGAACAAGAGCTCTTCTACAAGGTCAGGCTATTGCGACCGCCTCAAAGGTAACCCTTCTCGCTTTCTTCTGCCCAAGTGTCAGGCATCTATCAGAAGTGACGAAAGCTATAAGATACTTACGGGCGGTGAGATAGTCAAAAAGAAAATGTCACTCTCGCCGTGCGGTAGGAATGAAATACAACAGGCAGCAGTAACCAATAATCGTCTCGCAACATGATGATGGTGTATTACACTGTAATATTATCTCCTACCTTTCCGCTCACAAGAGCACTTCCTTCTTGTGTGTCGGAAAGAATTGGGGGAAAAATCGTGCAGTGGGACTACTTATGAGATATTGACGAGAATCGAACTCGTGAACGTAATTCATTTGCCCGGATCGACTTTCAAAGGCTGAACCCATTCCGATAAACCATTGCTACTCAGTTCGCCTCAAGGCCGCCACTCACTATGCAAATATTCCTGAATGGTTCTACTTGACTCCGTCAGTTGTGTCCGGATGGCTCGGCTGGCTCATTCCGAGGTTGGGGTGTCTCGCTGAAGCATTGGGATTGCCTTGACCGGAAACATATTGAGAGTGGAAAAAGCCACGGCCGTACCTCCTTCGAGAAGGGGGTATGAAAATTGGGTTGTAAAGGAGGGTAAAATGGTACCTTCGGAAGTAGCTATAAGACCGTGCAGGATTCGAACCCGCACCAAGCAGGTATCGATTCAATAGTGTGCTGCGCGCTTTCGGCCACTGTGTCGCTTCTTAATTTCTAAATGTACCACCACCTACGGATGGGTATAGGGGAAGACGGCCTACTTTCAGTTGAACTGCATCCACATTCCACGACACTTGTATGCTCAGGTTCAAATATATCCGTGTTCTTTGATTTTGACTGGGAATTCCAATCGAAACTTAGACGACCTGTTTTGAAGGCTTGCAGTGTAGCTCGAATGGCAGTCGAATTCTTCCTGCATCTCGCCGGTTGAGCCCTATCTTTCATCTATCCCTTCGCTATTCATTCGGCATCTGTCCTTTACTCTGATATTGTTCACGAAAAGCAAATCACATCGGGTAAAGAAAAAAAAATACACGTAACACCGCTCTGCGTTAAGGGCATCAACGAGAATTGAACTCGCGAGCAGGATTCTGTCGGGGTATCCCATAGTGCCAATGCGCGTCGGGGCGTAAGAATCCGGTGAACCAACATCCCCGAATGATCAGCAAAGGATTGGTGTGTTTAGCCTCCCTCTTAGCTCGACGTACTCGGTCATGCTAAAATCTCCGTTCATCTCTCATCGAACGTAGTCGGTCAGGAGCGAGAATATGGACGCTCAATTGAGAAATGAGCAGCAGCGCCTTTGGAAAGTCAACACCACGAAAATCAATCCTTGCAACACAGCCGCATGAACAGAATTCGAAGCAGACGCCCTGAATCAACGCCGTTTCCTCTTGGACGTGGATGTTACACACGCACGTTGGCTCTCTGTAGCCTGAGAAAGATCCTTGAAATACAGGTGGTTGAGTCGAATCCGCCTGGCCGACCAAGCAGTGGCGACAGCTGTTCAACAGACCTAGTATTCAGCGCATCCTCATCTCGTCTTCGGTGTTGCACTTGAGGCTTCGTTCAGAGCACCTTTCCTTTCAAAAGGACCAGTGTCTCAACGAGAAACATGCCAGACAGGAAATACTCCAAAATCAACACATACCTAACCATGGTTAATGACAAGCGCAGTATTCGAACCTGCGAACGCGGCTGCATGTTGGTGGGGCCAACGATGTATCCTTTGTGCCATCTTGTCGTTCGTGAATACCGCTTCGATTATTAGATTAAATGGTACCCCTTCCTTTAGAACCCCTGAGGAGCACTGTCGGGTAGAGCCAACTACTTAGCCTGGCGAGCGAATGGAGTTGAGCTCGAGCTTGAAGGTCGGGGCACCACCCGCATGACGTCACGCGACACCCAGTGGATGTTCAGCGGACCAACAGACTCCGACTCGTGCTTTCCCACCAACGAGTTCTGAACTTCTCCTTCGTCTTTACCCTCATTCGCAATGCCTTCTGGATTTGCTTCTCAGCGGTAGAATCTGGCGGGTGAACGAATCATGTCCGGCGTTCTCAGGGGCGCTCTGTGTACTGATTAAAAGCGTGGAGAGGGCTGAGTTGAAGGGAGCAGGGCAGACGGCTGACGACGTCACGCAGGTTGCGCTCTTCCGAATAACAGTGGGTCCAAGCGCTGGTGCAGGATGGAGTCGTGAGTCTGACAGACAACAGATATGTGGTTTGGATGATGGGAGTCTGAAGAGAGACAGTAGTATTGAGCTTTGGCTTTCTCGCTTTTGAATGCAGGTTCACTGGGAGAGCATCTACACTAGGACGACGAGATTGAACCCTCCAAGGGCTGATTGACTCAAGGAAGATCTCCTTGTCTCCTCCACACCACCAACCTTCTCTTCGCGTTCGCTCTCCAATCAACAGGGCTTCTGTTCTGATCCTCACGAAAAAGGCCACGTTCCGCGGCGCCATTGCTATCTGACAGTCCGAATGCTTCGCTTCGTTCCCTTCCACGATCGCTTATTCGTCACTATGATGTCTTTCTGGCTTCACTAGCTCGAACCCACGAACATCGCAAGGGAGTGCCAGGGATGAAACGAAAAGCCTGTGGTGAGGGTCCTGCTTCTCCTCAGCCGAGTCTTCCGAGAACTAACCCATTATTAAAGTTACGGTATCCGGTGGGCGTACAATTGACGGGTCATAGCCAAATGCGTAAGGTATGAGCTCGAATGACGTCGTGCTAGGTGCAGGATTCATCGCTCAAGCGTGCACGAAGAACCAATAAAAAGGGAAGGACGTCTCTTGACCTCTACTCACCATTCTGTTCCTTTTTCTCTCTCACTGTTTCCTTCACCCGAAACAACGAAGAAGGAGGAATTAAAATGTCAACGACAACATCAACAACAGCCAAAACACCCCGACCAGGTCTCTTCAGCACCCTCCACGACGACCTCGCCGCCGCCGCTTTTGAATTTGTCGGGACCACCTTTTGGCTCTTGATAGGCCTCGGGGGTATCCAAGCCGCCCAAGATTTCAACCGGCTACGCCGCCTCCTCCATCTCGTTTGCATTCTACGTTTCAGCATGCATGGGCCTTAGTCTCCTTGCTGCTGCATGGCTGTTCTACAGGGTCACAGGAGGGCTGTTTAATCCGAACATCTCGTTGGCGTTGTTGATGGTTGGCGCGATTGGGCCTGTGAGGTTTGTATTGTATTGCGTTGCGCAACTGTTTGGGTTCGATTGCGGCGGCTGCGTTGGTACATGGGTTGTTACCTGGTCCTTTGACTGTCGAGTGAGTGTTCCTATTGGCGTTATCTTGGGATGGAAGAGCTAACAATGCGATTAGCACACTGTTGTCGCCTGGAACGAGCAGGACGAGGGGAGTGTTCATCGAGATGTTCATCACTGCTGCTCTCGTTCTATCCGTCCTCATGCTCGCTGCTGAGAAGCATGCAACGACACCCTTTGCGCCCCGTTGGAGTGGTATCACCCTGTTTGCTTGCCATCTGTAAGTGCTCCCTTCTCTCGTCTTCTCGTCGAGACTCATTTCCGCTAAGCTTCGCCGTGCATACACTGGTTGCATCGATGAACGCTGCTCGGTCGTTCGGTCCTGCAGTCGTTAACGGCTTCTCGAGTGATTATCATAAACACCACTGGGTCGTACGTCCTTTCTATCCATCACCTCACCTGTACCAATGCTCATCGTTATTTCGTAGTACTGGATCGGTCCTCTCCTAGGCTCTCTCCTCGCCGTCTCCCTATACGGTATCCTCAAGCAGTACGTTCCCTCCTCTTTGTAATCCAACTCGAAATGCTGACGCTTGTACCACAGCTACCGCTACTGGAAACTCACTCCCCACCAAGCCGCTCGGGACCACACCAAGTCGCCACCCGGCCCTATGGAAGGCATGAAGGGCATCATCTCCGGCAACAACCCTGATGAAATCGACGAGACTCCTGCTGTGAGGAACAGCTTCGGAAGGGGGAGGAAAGCGAGGGCGGCGTCAACATCGTTTGAGCGCTCGTCTCGCTGGCTCTTCCGAGTTTTTCGGCTTGTTCAACCCTCTCTCGATCCTCCGTTGTCGCCTGTTGGACTCTACTGCTTTCCCCGTTTACGAAACTTCATGATCCTGCTGCGTCAACTTGTTTTCCTCCATTCTTCCACACATTTGATTGTCCATTCATATCATTTCTCTCACCGCTTCGCTGGACTCTTTACCTCGCAACTTGTCTTGTTCATACCATATAATTCAATACCTCGCATCAGACCCGTCGATCTAGGCGCTTTTACACATCTATTTGGAGACTGTGAACGTTGTGAACATCTCACCCAATTGACCAACGCAGTGACCGCACCAACTCATCGACAAGAAATTCAGTGCGGAGGAATACTGGCTTACTTAGGCTAATCGATCTATTCCCCAAAAAGCTAACGAGTGACCTACAGGATCGACACCAGCAGGATTCGAACCTGCGCCATCAAAGAGGGACAGATGAGTGCAAATACAATATACATCGATCGGGGGCAAATTCTAATCTGTCGCCGTAACCACTTGGATATGGTGTCTCTGCGCTGTAGTTTTACTTGTGTAGCCTTGAGTGTGAGAGGCTAGAAGAGGCTGGGAAGGTGTGGACGAAAGCCCAGGAGGGCTAGCAAGAGGATGCTGATCGCTCCGCCCCGACGGCTTGACCAGGGTATGAAGCCAGCTATGAGCATCGACGCAAAGTTCAGCTATGGGGAGAGAAAGCAAGGGTACAGACGCGAAAGCGCGCACAGTGTCTTCACTCACCGCTATCGATATGTCGCGTCCGAGTCTGCTTACCGCGTGACGTCACACGCAGAACACTGAGCCTGAGGCTAAGCAGCAGCCGTCGAATGGACTAGATCAGTCTATGTCAGAGAACACCCATTCATGCGGCTTTCATTTTTTGGCTAACCCGTAATCCGAAGATAAGTCTATCTCGGATCCTCGCACCCATTTGAAACTTGAGCCAAAACACCGCTCATCCCATTCACGGATTCAAAGGATGCGAGAGGCAATAGCTCAAGGGTTGTGAAGGGGACAACACCCCGGTAGCTTGCGGATTATTGTAGGTTCGAATCCTGCTTGTGCCATTGGTCAGGGAAATGAGTTTTTCTCCATATTTCCATTTTGCTGTAGCACTGGTAACTTGAATTCATTCCACTGAAGCGTTCTAAGCGACGGTGTAGGCATGACTTTGAGGCCATCCCTTATACTCCCGAAATCTTCCTTGTTTTCTACAGCTTACGAGCACAAGCCCCTGGGAAATGCTGCAAATGCTGCATAGTCTTTAAGTGTGACACTATGGTCCAGAAAGCTATCACCCACTACGGCGAGCATGTTCTGGCGTGCGGGTTCGATTCCCATTCTATTATTTACTAGGTCATGAGTAGTTCCATTTACTTCTGTTCCTTTCTCTGTCACTCTACCACACGAAGATAGAAATACGGACCGACTCGACTCCTTTTCCCATCGAGGTTCTGTAGTCCGTCGAATACCATGGGTTAGGTACATTTAAGTGGGATTCATAGTTCAAGGGAACTCCTACAGCCACCACCCTATGGGACGCTTAGCCAACGGGTTCGATTCCCGTCGTTGTACCCCCTGCTGTTTATGCAAACGTGTTTGTATTTTTTTCCCATTCCTGCCTACTAGTACTACTCCCGGCATCGCATTTGGCTTGCCTTTGTTGCCTGTGCTTCGGTAAGAGCCGTTGTGATCTTGCGTCATTGGCATACATAAGCCTTCTGGCCCAACTTCAAGCCATTCACGCCAGCTCACACGCTGTCTCACAGTCGCTCCCGGTCCATCTAGAATAACTCGATGCGAAAGCAGCCGAGACACCGTACGAAATTAGAGTGCGAATTCGGTGAAATCGAAGCCAGCGAGTGATGTGTTCATCGATATCTTTGTTTCGCTTGGTTTTGAAGCCTATTGACCTCGCCAGATAACGCCAAACAATAATCGACCACTGGCGACGCTGTCTCTTTGAGGAAAGAGTCTTACGCTGTTGGGCCTTCACCTCCATCACTATACTGAGGGGGTTCTCTTCCAGCTGATTGCAAAACGATAGACCCAGTTCGACCAAATTCTTCTTCGTGATTTTATTTGGTCCTGGGGCCTGGTGCCGGCGTGGACAAATAGTCAAAAGCCTCCGTTTTGCCATTCTGGCAGAAAATCGGAGCAGTGAGGACTGTGTCGGGGAGCGCCCCTACCATATGCGGTATGGTCGCAGTGGGGTGCCTGTTTGTTCCTGCCGGCACTGGCTCCAAAGTAAATAAAATCACGAAGACAGATTTCGTCAAACTGGGTCTATCGTTTTGCAATCAGCTGTCACCGCCTTTTGCGGCCCCAAAATCAATCTGCAATCCGACATTCTTCCGCTTACGGATACCAACGCTTCCTCTCCCCTCATGCCCGCACATTCGCCGATGCAACACGAGGGAATGGTCCTCTTCTCCAACTTTTCTCGTCTCTCCAACGCTTCTCAACTCCCTGGTGACTCCACACCTGACCTCTTGTTGCCTTCGTCCGACTTTCAAGGCTGCCTAAATCCCATTTTCCGCAGTCTCCAACCTTAACTCAAGTTTTGACAACGCGGGAATGAGAGGAGCAGGTTGCAGATGGAGTGGAGGTAACGCTGCTCAACATGTTCCCCAACACACGACCCTCTGCTATATAAGAGTGGCAGAATGGGAGCAAGCAAGTCGACGTATAGCTGTGGAAAATGCGGTTTACATCCCTCTTGTTCTTCGCTGCATTTATTGGCTCTGCGCTCGCGGAGGCAGCCCCCCGGGGTACGTCTCGCCCCCATTGATCACAATCTCAAACCGTTCTGATTGGTTGCTCTAATAGCCGTTTGACGAAGTTGAGATCCAGTCTCCTGATGGCTCGATCTCTGCAAAGTTCATTCGTATGGGGGCCACAATCACCCAACTCTGGTTGAAAGACAAGCATGGCAGGGCGGTCGACGTGATCCTTGGATATGACGACACTGTAAGAAACTGTTGGCTGTGTAGCGATGATGAAGCTCGTCTCATACCTGGCGCTATCATAGACTCGTTGGTGGACTGACCCAAAACAGCCATACTTCAATTCTATCATTGGCCGGTGAGCTTGTTCGCTCTTGGAGTTTCCTCCCTGCTAATATCTTGTCATAGATATGCGAACCGTATCAAAAATGGTACTTGAATCTATTTCTCTGACTGAACAAGACTGAATAATCACCGAAGGAACCTTCTCAATCCCGATTACCAAGTACCCTCAACCTCCAGGCCCAAATGTCTACCAAATCCCAAGGAACGATCGTGACGGTGCGCTTGTGGATTGGTGGTTGAGTGGTAGCTGGTCCTGACGCTGTAACTTTAGGCCAGGTTTCCCTTCACGGTGGCGAAATTGGGTGGGACAGGCGTAACTGGACTCTAGTGGAAAGGTCAAGGACGAGCCTCACCTACAAGCACATCGACAATGGCGACCAAGGCTTCCCTGGAGTGGTGACTGCGTTTGTAGGTCGCGTCTATCATTTGGCTTTTGTTGATTCTGAAACAGGTTTAGGCTACGCATACCGTTTCAAACGGAGGAGTTCTCCGGACTAGCCTTACCGCTCGTGCCACTAAAAAGACGCCTCTCATGTTGACGCAGCACTTGTACTGGTATGTGGCACAACACTCCGACCTCGTACCTCTCTTCTAATACACAAACAGGAATCTCGACGGCTTCCAGAACGGCGTCAACGACACGCTGGGGCACACTCTGCAAATTGACGGTTCCAAAGTGATCGAGGTGGACGGCAACTTGATCCCCACTGGTAAATTTATCGACGTCACCGGCACACCGTTCGATTTCCGCAAGCCGATGCTCCATGGGGCACGCTTGGACGAGGCTCAAGGCCTTTGTGGTGCTCCTTGCTCGTTGTATGACCATTGTTGGGTCTATGACAAGGGGGCGAAGGCGAAGCAACCTGTCACCACCCTTATTGGCGAAAAGTCTGGAATCCGGTGGGTTAAAATTCAACTCTATTTCAAAGATTGATGTCGGGAAGCTTATTGGAAACCTAGATTGGATATTACCACCAACCAGGACGCCGTCCAGGTCTATTCCTCATGGGGGTTGAACATAACCCAACCCAAGGCTGCTCATAGAGGTGCAGGCCTGGCTTACGGTCGCTACAGTGGTATTGCCATCGAGCAGCAGGGGCTTATCGACGCTATCAATACGCCGGAGTGGGGTGTTAACCAGATTCGTGAGTTGCCCCTCCGCCATTTGGTGCTGTTTTGCTGATGCTCGTCGACAGAGGATCCCAAGAAGACGTATGAATGGGTCACAACCCACAAGTTCACAACTCTCCGCTAAGTGATGAGAGGTACACCGTAAACTCGAAATATATAGCTTTCATCAACACAATGTACATATGGTGAAAGGAAAGGCGAACGTGGGTATTCGCGCATTGGATAGTCTCAACTCGATTTGTTTCGAACGCAGTAAAAACTCAAGAACTTCCGTAGGGTAGGTGTCGTTCAGGGGGCACGTGAGGTTTGCTCTACATGACATAGTCAAAGGAAGCAATGGCTTAAGGGAAAATATGCATCACCTGCTGTTTCCGAGAGGCGAGGTTCGATCCTCACCGGTCGCATGTGTATGGCTCCAATTGGTTTTTTCATCCTTTTCATCCATGCCCCAACTGTTCAATGTAAAGAATCGACATCACACACTCAAGCACGTCTGTGTCGTGTGCTTGATTCTCCCATGAACAGTTTGAATATATCACCTACAATGTTCCCGGAGGCGAGTTCGATTCTCATCCCGGCGTATCCCATCCTCGAATTTTGCTTGCCAGTTTCTTCCTTTTGTCTCTCTCCGAGCGGGGCTATTTGTTCCCGCGCTGACGAGCTATACAATGGGTGCAGAGGCTAAAGCGGTTCAAGAGAAAGAAGCAAATGAGACTCGAGTGTTGAATCATCTTGTCTCAGTCGAGAAACACTGTCTTCAAGACACTTTAGTGCAAGAGGATGCGTTCGCCTCCCCATGATGTGCTACCACAGGTTCTAATCCCAACAGGCAACTGCCAATTTATTTATTTTTCGACTCGAACTTGAGTCACAGCAGTCCAGACTATGGCGTGCGCCGAATGCGATTGTGCGATGCCCCAGGCAATAGAGGAGAGGAGGAACGCGATAAGAGTCTTGAGAGCTTGAGCACTAGCAGGCGCGTGGTCTTCTGCACGGAGGCCAACTAGAGGTCGGTGAGAGGCCAAGGCTTGAAGACGGTAAACACGTCACAATTCAAGAAGCGAACCAAGAATGACAATAGAGAGTTTGCGCAACACCGCCACGGCGCTCCACAGCGCCCACAGAGCGCCTTGGCGCTTTTTTTGCGTTGCGCAGTTCATAAATTGTGTCGCTGAGAAACCCGTGGTCAATTCCTGTTTTTGACACCGCCGAATCCTTTCGACATCTCTGCTCGACACTAGCCTCAAATCTGTACCATCTAGTGATTGCAGTTCGTCGGGAATGCCACAATTTTATGGATGGTAGAGCGCCAGGGG